ACTGCCTTAACCCAGTGGTAGTCAATCTGGTCCCTACCGCCCACGAGTGGGCGTTCCAGCTTTCAAGGCGGGCGGTTAGGGGTTTGCTGTTAACTCTGCTTTATAAATTTTATAAAGTAAAGTTACTTCCCTACTTTATAAATCACCATTACTGTGAAACTGGTGGGCGGTTAGAAAATTTTACTACTAACAGAGATACAAAAGTGGGTGGTAGGTATAAAAAGGTTGACTACCCCTGCTCTAAAGCCTGGGGAGGGCGAAAATGGCCTTCCCAACCCCCTTGGGAGGCCAGAAATGGCCCATTTTCTGACTTCCGGTAGGCCCAGGAGGTCTGTCTTTCGCCCTCCCCAGGCTTTAGAGCAGGGGTAGTCAACCTTTTTATACCTACCGCCCACTTTTGTATCTCTGTTAGTAGTAAAATTTTCTAACCGCCCACCAGTTGCACAGTAATGGTGATTTATAAAGTAGGGAAGTAACTTTACTTTATAAAATTTATAAAGCAGAGTTACAGCAAACCCCTACCGCCCACCTTGAAAGCTGGAACGCCCACTAGTGGGCGGTAGGGACCAGGTTGATTATCACTAGAGGTTTTCTAGGAGCCCGGGGAGGGCGAGAAACGGCCCAACACGCAAACTGGAAGTTTGGGAACGGACTTCCGGATTGCCCGTTGGGCCGTTTTTCCTCCCTCCAGAAGATTCAGGAGGCTGAAAAACACCCCAGTGAGCAAACCAGAAGTACGTTCCCCCCAAAAAAGGCCAAAAATCATGCCCAAAAAATCAGCAGGCACATGCGCGCTGGAGCTGACAGGGCAACGCCTTATATAAATATACAATAGCAGAGTTGGAAGGGACCTTGGAGGTCTTCTAGTCCAACCCCCTGCCTAGGCAGGAAACCCTAGACCACTTCAGACAAATGGCTATCCAACATCTTCTTAAAGACTTCCAGTGTTGGGGCATTCACAACTTCTGGAGCCAAGTTATTCCACTGGTTAATTGTTCTCACTGTCAGGAATTTTCTCCCTAATTCTAAGTTGTTTATCCCCTTGATTACAATACAATACAATAGAATACAATACAATAGCAGAGTTGGAAGGGACCTTGGAGGTCTTCTAGTCCAATCCCCTGCCTAGGCAGGAAACTGTTTCAGACAAATGGCTATCCAGCATCTTCCAGTGTTGGGGCATTCACAACTTCTGGAGGCAAGCTATGTGCTTTGTGGCATGCGTGCCATAGATTCACCATCACGGGCTTAGGCCTTGCCAAAACAACCCAACAGTGCCCTCTCGTTTTTCCATGCCATACCGAGGTGTGTGCAGGAGTTTGCTTTTAGCCAACGTGGATTAAATACGAAGGAACATCCTGTTTTTTTGGTGGGGAAATAGGAGGAGGAGGTGGGAACACGGATCTTTATAACCCTGGAGGTCAGTTTCCCCGATTTGAGGCGATCTTAAAAAGTCAGCTGATGGGATGTAAATGAAACAGAAAAGGGAATGGATGGTAAATGTGATAACAGCAGCTAGATTAGTGATGGCTAAATATTGGGGACGGAATTGGGACATTCAAAGAAACGAGGGATATAATGGAATTTGGAGTATGGCAACAAATGATAAAACAACGGAAATTAAACTTTAAAAAAAGGGATGATCAAAGCAATTAGAATGAAACATGGGGGCTTTTTATAAAATCAGTGTTGGAGGAAGGCAAAGGGAATAAACCTACTCAAGAATAGAGGCTGTTTTGGAGGGGATAAGGGCACCATTGGAATATATTGTATATTATTTTAGTTGTTAGAGAAGAAGAAATGTAAGTTGGGGGGGGGGAAACCATTGTTTCTGGTGTGTGTGTGTGTGTGTGTGTCTGTACTGTAATATTAGTTTTTTCCCCCTCTTTTTTCTTTCTTTTTCCTTTGTATTTAGATGTCTATGCTTGCATTATTAGCATTTTAAAGAAAAAGAAAAAAAAAATTTTTTTAAAAAGCCAGCTGACTCTGGAAAAAGAGCTTGGAAAGGCATTCACGGGGTTTTCTGGCAAGGGCTGAAGCAGGGGTGTCTAACCTTGCCAACTTTTAAGACTGTTTTCAATGCCGCTGTGACTTTGAACAGCCGTTTTAAAGGAATCGCTGTAAGTGGAGGACCAGCCTACACTGTTTTTTTAAGGGCAGGGTTTCATACGCAGAAAGGATATCTGGAGCTGGTTTCCTCCTTTTGTCGGGAATGGGCACCGGGTCGTTGGGCCTCCTCCGCAGCTTCCTAGTCATGATTGGCTTCACTTCCATGGAATCTGAAGGGAGCAACAAAGCAATTGGATTGTAAGGCCCACAAACTTCTTTTAAAGGCACCTGAGTACTGAGGCATTAAAAAAACACCCATTTCTTTCTTCCCCATTCTCCCCTCCACCCCCGATTATTCTGACTGAGGCTTCCCAAGAGCCTGAAGCAAAAACCCCTTTTATTAATTTATTGCGAATTCCTCTCATTCACATCCAGCAAAGTCTTTCGAGGGAGGATTTACGGTCACAGACCTTATCTGGCTTGGAGAGCTGCCAGGCCGATCTCTGCAGAACTTGGCAAGGAGTCTTGGAGAGTCACAAGCCAATGAAGTGAACTAATTTTCTCCTGCAAACTCCACTCCCCTTTCGCTCCTCTTTTATTCCCTCTGGGAGGGGCCGTTCATTCGTCCACCTGTGGCCTTCCTCCCAAGTTGACCCCTGTTCTATAGCTGCTCCCT